GAATCCTGTTTTCCTGACTGCTGGAAGTCCTCATCCATTGTTCCTGTCTTTAAGAACTCTGGAGACCCATCTGACCCCTCTAATTACCGTCCAATTAGTCTCCTAGCCCTCTTCGGCAAAGTCTTCGAAGCCCTAATCAATGCCGAAGTGGTTAACTACCTTACATCCCATGATCTGCTCTCAGACAAGCAATATGGTTTCCGCTACGCCCGATCTACAGCTGATGTGCTTACCGCTATCACTGAAACCGCCTACCAAGCCCTTCAAAATAACGGTGAGGCTCGTGCCGTGGCCCTAGACATCTCCAAAGCGTTTGATAGGGTTTGGCATGCCGGCCTTCTTCGTAAGCTCCAGGGTTATGGTATTACAGATCGATTGTTTGACCTAATACAATCATTCCTGTCAAACCGTGAATTGAAGGTCGTTCTCAACGGATTGGCCCCACTCTATTCCTTATTTTCATCACTGGTTCCCAGACTCCATGAATTCAAGCGCCCTACGAGGCTGGCATCCTGCTCCCACCCTTACACTGTAGAAACTTTTAAATGTAGCCGTCTCTTCTACTCCAATAGCTTCATACCTCGCACCTCTCGCCTGTGGAACACCCTTCCCAATTACTGTTTCCCTGAGAGCTATAATCTTCAACTATTCAAATGTAATGTCAATCGACATCTCCAGTTACCTTGATCTATCCACTATCCCTCACCTCATCCTTTCTTCTATCACTCCTATCTGCTCTTGCTCCAAATCTTCTGCAACCCCCTGCATCCTAGTGGCTTCACGCCTTGCTCGGGGCGTAATGCTTAAAAAAAAAAAGAAAAAAAAAAGACAATTTGCAATTGGAAGATTTCCCCGGATGTAAACACCAAGGCCATGCATATGTATCCTAGAATTTTTTCGACAAAAAGGAAGTTAGCATAGAAGAGAGAATTCATTGATAGCGATAAAAAGAATTTAAATTAGTTTCGCAAACTGTGAAGATATCTGGAGAACGTTTCAAGCGAAAAGATGCTACACTACCGAAATTGGTACGAATACCAAGAATATTGGAGAAAGAAAGAAAGTTTGGGGTGGGTATGAGATTTTTTTTTGTTTACTCGCATTTCTTTTCGTTGCATCTGTCATAAGAAGATTTTGTTTTAAAAAGAAAAAAGCCAAAATAATTATCACTATCTATCGACTATGGCAATAAAACTAACCAGAAGGGGCCTAAGATTAAAACATAATCTAAGCTCAGGATTGTCCACCAGAAATACATGCAGGGATACCTATCCATGTGCAACATTACAAATATCCACTTGGAAATGACTCTCTATTGAGTGATATGCATATAACTCCGTCCATGGTTTCTACAATCATCTCTAAACTGGATCTCCACAAAACATGTGGACTTGATTGTACCCCCGCAAAAGTCCTTTAAGGAATGTGCTATTGAACTGATCTCTAAACTCTACAATAAATGTCTTCTGGCTTTTTGCTTTCTTGTTTGTTGGAAATCCTCTTTGTAGTTCCAGTATTTAAGAACACGTGAACCGTCTGAGCCTTCCACTAGCTTCTACCTCTTTTTGGAAAAGTACTAGATGCTCCAATCAACTCTGAATGGGTTAAGCATCTCACTTTACAGGGTTTTCTTTCAATGCTTCTCTAGATCAACTGCTGATGTATTAACGATTATTGTTGAAAGTGTCTATAATGGTGAAGCTCAAGCTGTTGCTTTGCTTATCTCAAAGACATTTGAACGGGTTTGTCATACTGTTCTTCTTTACAAATTGTAAAGTTATGATATTTATGGACGAATTTACAACTGATTCAGTCTTTCTTATCAAATGGACAAATAAAGGTTATCTGGAATGGCCACTCTTCTAGATCTTTTTGCATTAATGCAAGTGTCCACTATGACTCTATCCTTGGATCTACGTTGTTCCTAATTTTCATCAACGACCTTCCTGATGTCACCAGTTCTCAACTGGGTATCTATACTAATGACACAACTATTTACTCCTGTCTTAATAGTAAGTTTGATCGGTTTAATACGGTCAGATTGGTAGCTGATCTAAAAAGTGACCTGTAATCTGTAGTTAATAGGAGGCAAGTAATGGCTTGTTAATGTTAACGCCCCCAAAATGAAACTGCTCTCTTTTTGTTGCCATCAATATTGCTGATGTTAACCTCTAGCAGAGTGATTTATTGCGCCTTCTCGAGCTAACGTTTTCCGCTAAGATATAGGGGAAATATTATATTGAATCAATTGCTAGGTCTGCTGATAGGAAAGTTGGTTCACTATGTCGTGTGATACAATTTTTATCGCCTTATTCTTAAGTCTACTATTCTCGTCCATGCTTTGAATATTGCTGCCACATCTGGTCTGATGCTTCTGCTGTGTATTTAAAGATTCTTAATAAAATACAAAGAAGAATCTGCAATGTTATTGGCTATGACCTTCCATCTCGGCTTCAGTCCCTTTCACGCCACCGTAACGTAGCTTCCCTGTGTCTTTTCTATAAATAGTTTCATGGTAATTGATGAACTTTCTTAAATGGTACCTAGACTTTATGGACGTAAGTGCATTACTAGATTGACAGCAATGTCTAATCATTTTACAGTCGAAATGGCTAGATGTAACTGTAAGTTCTATGCTAATAGTTTCTTCTCTCGCACTTCTCACTTGCAGAACTCTCTTCCAACTTCTAACTTCCCAGTCAACTTTGATTTTCAAAAATTTAAATGCATTGTCAATCGTTATTTTCTGTCTTCTTTATTCTCGTTCCTTTATTGTCCTCTCTCCATAATAGTGTTGTTTTTTTTCATATTCTTTAACACTGTGCAACCCTTTGCGTCTTTGTGGCTTTATTGCCTTGCTTTGGGTGAAATTATTAAAAAAAAAAGAATAAAATGGAGTTTAGATAATAGGAAAATGTTCCTTTTAATTTTTTTTATATCCCTATAGGTTAGCCACATAGCGTGCTCTCTGTGAAATACGGTATTTGAAACCAAGATAAAACATTTACCATTGTAGACTTGCTTGTGTATTTTTCTGCTCACTGTCACACACACTGTTACACAAAGGATGAATTGTAACGGAGAATAGTTGACATGTTACCGAGGCGGACTGAAGAAAGACAAAAGTGAACACGACATAATGACAATGAAATAACAATGAACTTTCAGCTTAATTCGTTATTAAAAGTATATTATCACAATTTCAGATTTGATTGAGAGTCGTAACCCAAATGTTCGTTTTTTTAGTATGAATTGTACTCTTTGACAGTTTCTTCCTTGCATAAATGACCGGTTCAAGACTTCTTCTATATTTTCTATTGGGTCCTACTATTGATTGATTTGTTTTTACGGCTTATCAACTCTTTGTGGGTTATTTAAAGCCGAAACATATATTGGACTACATTAATAATTCTTTTCTGCGAGAAAATATTGCATTAACATTTTTTAGAATAACAATGATTTTTCCAGATACAAGACCTACTATTTAACCCATAGATCGGGGGAAGAGATGGAATCATACTTTCCCAAAGCTATTTGCGCGTAAGTAATGTAATGAACTTGACTCGAATTCGAAATCCATTCTCAGTTTTCTCATCCATTACATCACCTCGTAAGATGTTTCACTGTTTTCACAGTCATAGATATTTTTTACTTAATAAACTGCCCAAATTTGAACATATCGCTAGCTATTTTTCCCCTATCGGCTACACCCAATTATGTTCAAGTCAGGAACGTAAGATTTTAAATTGCGTTTCATTGGAAAATACTCCAACTGATCTCTCTCTCTCTCTCTCTCTCTCTCTCTCTCTCTCTCTCTCTCTCTCAATTTATTCGTCAGGTAGCAGGATCGAACCAGTTGTTGATCGCTTGGCTACTTCCAGTTATCTGACACTTGTTTCCGGGGATCTTTTTCGAACCCCTACCTATTTCCTTGAAATAATTTAACTCTGCAGCCGTTACTCTACGCAGATAAAATACTTACGGAAGAGTGATTTGTCTATTCGATTGCCCCGTCATAAAGAAAGGAATGACTTAGAAATCAAAATGGCCAAATCACTCATTGGTGATTTATTTTGTCAAGCAACAAGACAGAGGTGGATTTATGCCTCATGCAAGTGCATTTATATGAAGTAAGCATAGATACGCTCCAGCTCTAGGCTAAATTCGAAATCGGTTTGCCGATCCCGTTATTGTAACCATTACAGTACTCCGTTCTTCCAATCCAGAAAAAAAAAACACACACACACACACATAACTAAATATACAATTGAGCAAAAATGACAACTATAAGGCATATATATACGCTTACATTCAGTGAAAGAAAAAAAGCTTTATTATTATCATTATTCTTGCATCAATTAGAACCTTTGAATTTCTACGGGAGCTTAGGAATGATTCATCATCTGCAAACATCTTTCCCGTTTTAACTTCCTTTTTTTCCCTCCATTCACATTCATAAATTACCATAAAGATTAATGAATGGGGAAAAGCCGAAGAGTAAGGGAAATGCGTAAAAAAAATATATATATATAAATAATGCATCAACCTTTCTTTCTTTTTTTCTTTAATTTACTCACGCCCGTACAAATAAAACGTACACAAAAAATCACTGAATATAAAAAATCTACGCTTACAATTCCATTTATGCAGACGTTCAAAATCAAAAGGAAGAAAAGAGAGAGAGAGAAAAGAATTTTTTAAAAAATCCGTTGTCTTCCATATATGGCATTATATTGCCAACATGTTTTCCCGCACACTTTCAATCGACTCCTCCTCTTTTCTCTCCCTCCCTACATTTAAAGAGGATGATGGCAGGGAGCGAGGTTTTAGTAACTGAATTAGCAGCTCGAGTCGATGGCAACAGGAGGAATATAGCCGGATGCAAAACAGTGGCTGCAGAGAAGACATCAATGTCTTTTGAGCCTTCCTTTTTTTTTTTTTTTTTCAAGGAAGAGCCTTACGCAGCAGGCGAATTGAAATCAAACCTTAAGATACCTGAATCACCTCAGAGCTTGAGATTCTACAGCTACTAGCGACGTCGTAGTGCTGATAGTTATGACGACTGACTTTGTATGTGACTGGGCTGAGAAGGAAGAGGATAGGTGGGAGTGAGAGGAAAATAAGAAGAGAGGACGAAAAGTATTGATATGGGAGAAAGAGAAAGAAAGGGAAAAAAGAAAATTAATCTTTATATGATATATAGACGAGTACGGAGAAACAAATGAACAAAAAGAAGAAAAAGAGGCTAAGTAACAGAAACACGTACGAGTCCTCTCTTTCTCTCTCTCTCTCTCTCTCTCTCTCTCTCTCTCTCCCTCTCTTTATATATATATATATATATATATATATATTTATAGATAGATAGATATAAGCAACAGCAATAGGTGTAAGTTAAGAGAGGTTTACAGATCTGAGAGGGAGATAACAATATTGGAAAAGAAAGGAAGGAGGATGATATGGCAACAGAGAGACAAAAGTGAAAGAGTTGTGAGAGAAAAGAGAATGATATGGTATGAGAATTGAAAGAGAAATGACGAGAGACAGAAAGGTGATATTGTAAGAGAAATAAGGAGGGGGAATTTACAAGTGAGAAGAAAGAGCTATGATGTAATAAGAATGATAAGGAAGATATATTTGCAAGCTAGGAGAAAATGATCGATTTCATAAGAAAGATAAGGGAGAAATATTTACAGCTAATAAATGTTTCCACTCTGCATGTAAATAACTCGTTTCTTTTACTGTATTACTGTACTTTATCTAAACACCTGTAAATACCATTCGCTTATTTCTCTTACCATATCTCTCTCCTTTCTCTCACACCTGTAAATATCTCTCTCTTTTTTCTCTTACCATATATCTTTCCTTTCTCTCATACCTGTAAATATCTCTCCGCTATTTCTCATACAATATCACTCGCCATTCTTTCACGACAGTAAATGTCTTTCCCTTATTTCTCTTACTATATCTCTCTCTTGTCTCAAACGTCTGTAAATGCTTTTCCCTTATTTATCTTAACATATCACTCTCCTTCCTTTTACGCCTATAAATGTCTCTCTTATTTATCTTACGAAATCACTCTCCTTCTTTTATACCTTTAACTGTCTCTCCCTTATTTATCTTACCATATCACTTTCCTTTCTCTCACACCTGTAAATATCTCTCTGTTATTTCTTTTAGCAAATCCCCCTCTTTCTGCTCAGCTTGTAAATTGCTTTTCCTTTACATAAGGGAAACTGAATTATTAAATTATTTTTCTTTTTGTTGGTCAGTAAATCTCTCTCTTCTTCCTTCTCTCTCTCTCTCTCTCTTTTGTTATCTCTCTCTCTCTCTCTCTCTCTCTCTCTCTCTCTCTCTCTCTCTCTCTCTCACTTCATTCACACTTGGAAATCTTTCTCAATTAACTTTTTAATTATTCCAATCTTTCAGATTGAAATAATAAGAAAGATAATCGAGAAACATGTCTGACTCTGAATGAGGAAATTAGTTTTTCCATTTTTACATTACTAATATACCGTATATAATGGTCACCTGGCCGAGTGATTAGAACCCAGGTTCGAATCTCAGTACGTTCGATTTGTCAGGAAGGTTACTTCTTGATGTTATTGGTCTCAGCGTGCGGCATCTTTAGAAAGTGCCTGAAAACCATGCCACTTGTCAGTGAAATTGGATAGATTGAACCCTTTGGGAGACGTCAATGGTTGCGCTAACACGAAGTCATCAGTCATCGTGGCCGAGGGTTTGAAGCATGCTGGCTTGTTCAGACTGTTGATCACGCTAGATAACGCGATCTCTCTCAAAAACTGTAACTGAGATTCACTCAGCATAGTTGCAGTATAAACCAGAGGTGGGTTCTGTGGGTGTTGAACAAAGATTAATGTGCCTGAGCAGGAGTCTGCAGTGGGGATTAGCTAGCCGCTCTAATAGATGGGAATCTTCGGATATGAGTGGCCAGCTATCCATACTGTGTATCAGTCAGTTATGTACCATGCGTGATACATGCTTAGGCGATCACGTATCTTTCGATACATCACTGACGAGGCAGATTTTTTCCCGCAGTAGGTTGCCATTTCTTTCTGCGGTAGACCAGTTGCCATCCAAGTTTACCCATAGTTGGGGGGGGGAGAAGAAGGGGATTCATACCTTTCCCACGTAAGTGAATGTAATGGATTCGACTGGAATTCGAACTCGGCTCTCAGATTCCTCAATCTTAGCCGCTATCCATTACTCCACCGTGCCTCGAATGTACTGTATATACTCGTGTATAATCCTATTTCATGTATAGTGAAACCCCTGAATCTTTTTGTGAAATACCTGATCATGTATAATGTGACCCTAGCTTCTGAGCAATACTAATAGGCCTCCTGTAGTCACATATCACAGTACTAGGCATCATCCTTGTTATAGTGGAACACACCTATTCTATAGTTAATAGACTCTCCCACCTATAATAAGTAAGAGTAGTAAGAGTAACGAGTCAGTGAGTGAGTCGGTGAGTCAGTCGATATCGGACGACAGTTAGTCGAATACTGAAGTATCAGCGACCACAACTAGATTACTGCGTTATACCTATTATATCAAGTTCCTAACGTTTTGTACGTCAAACCTATTTTAGGACCGACTTAGTACAAATACAAGCCTCCACTGTGAAATCACTCCACAACAATCCTGAAGATATTTTATACCAAATAAATGGTCTTTATTCTTTTTTGTACAAAGCTACCCCAAAATGGTGAGAAAAAACACTTACCGTCAAGTATCTATGAAGATTTAGATACCGTACTTTTATTTTTCAAGTTCAAGCCTAATTTTTAACCTCTTCAAAAAATTACCTCTGTATAGTGCGGTCCCTTTTTTTTTTTTTTTCGTAAAAAAACTGATTATAAAAACTCGCCCTATATTCGAGTATATACGGGAAGTAATACTGTTTTTTTTTTTCTTTCTTTCTTTTTTATTCAATTGAGGCTTAGAATGTAAAAGTCTAGAACCTGGAAACGCTAAATCACAAGAATAAGTGTAATGTCCCAGGGAATTTTTAAATTGTGCTTTTGGATTAAATGAATGAGGAAAAAATACGAATCTATTTGAAGCGGTACTCATTGTAGTTCAATTTTTAACGTACTGATCTTTCAAACCATTGGTAGCGTGATTGCATATCGTATTGCTTCGTTCAATGTTTAAATATTAATAGAAAGAGGAGTTGAGAGAAATTAGAAACAACGTTTTAGATGAATAGCCGAATGACCGAGAAACGTGAGTATACAATAAAATAAACAATGACTTAAATAAATGTCAACAAAACCGAAAAAAGAAACAAACTAAATAGGAAACTTTTAGGAATATAATAAAGCATTAATTAGAAGTAAAGGAAGAGAAAAGCTCTATGTTCGACTTAGCAACATAATACAGATGACACAATGTTGATAGCAGATATAGAAAGGAAACTTCAGGACTACGTACAGTAGGTAATAAAGGAAAGCGAGAAGAAAGGACTAAGTATCAATTGTAAGAAGACAGAATGCATGGTTGTTAGTAAAAGCAACATCCCAAGATGCGGACTACGAAGTGGAGATGCCAAAAATCAAACAAGTACGAAAATTTAAATATCTGGGAATCTGTTTTAGAAGCGGACGGAAAATGTGACACCGAAATCCGAAGGTGAATTGGGATAACAAAAATGTCTTTCAAAAGTTAAACAAAGTATTAAGAAACAAGAAAATTTCGTTAGTAAAAAAAGAAAAAAAAGCGCTGAATTATTACGCAATATCAGTCCTTCTATGTAGCAGTGAATGCTGAACAATCACATCACAGATGAAGAGACTTGAGACAACAGGAATATGTTTCTGCTGAAAATACCATGGACTGAACATGTGAGTAACGTGGAAGTTTTAAGGAAAATGAAAACAAAAAGGACGCTTATATTTATTGAATCAGAAATAGACAATTGAATTTCTAGGACGCATAATGAAGAAAGAGAGCTTGGAGAATTTGGCACTCACATATTGAAGTAAAGATGAGAGAAACAACGAGTAACCTAACAAGATTGTTTAAATGGATGGCAGAACTGGGATTGGGAGGAATGTTGAAAAACAAATCTTGCTAAGAGCTATAAAGGATAGGAAGATGTGGAGTGCCATGATCACTCATATCCTAAAGAGGCACGGCACATAGAGGCAGAAAAAGAAGCTCTACGTCTGACTGGTAACAGTTACAGATTGATGTAAGCAGGATTAAAATTTGTATGAGATAAACAGAAAATGTAGTCAAACCAGCAATATATTTTTTCGGTGGATGGGGGTGGGGAATTGACGTAACATAACCTTCTTACTCTTGGCCCTCACCAGTGTATACACGCACATACAGACTTAGGCAGATATATTGTATATAAAAGTTACTAGTATGTGGGTAGCGTAACAGTTTTCAGCGCGAAAAGTGAGATAGATGAGCAGCGCACAAGCTCAGGCATGAATTTATATCTTCTCCTCCAAGTTAGGGGTTAAATAACAGGATAAACTGGGTCCCAAGCCGTGTGTGGAAATCAGTTTAAGAGAAGGACTGAATTCAAAACCGTGGAGAAGTCAACAGGAAACCACTCTACTATCTCCCCCAAGAAATCATGGTAATTCACAGATAATAAAAAAGAGGAATCTTTGGAGAACCATGATCCCCAACGTCATGAAGGGGTATGGTATTTAAATAAAAAAGAAACTGAAAACGCAGTAGAAACCGATTTTAAGTATCAAAAATGTAAATTATTGTCGTCATATTTAAAATCGAGATTTTATTAAATTTCTCGTGAACTTCGATATTTCCGAAGAAAGTTTTATGTCACAATTATAACTAGAACATAACAGTTTTACGTGGTAACAAAAAAAACGATACGATTTCCAAGTGCGATTCAACATTATTGGCATCTGCGAAAGCATTTTATAAATTGCCCAGAAAAAGACAATTTAAGTTACACCATGAAGTTATGTTTTGATTAACAAGTTACATCATACCCGATTTAATCGGTATCATAAGGTGATGTTTAAAATAATAGTTGTTACATCGTAAAAGATTTAGTGTGCATCATAAAGTGACGCTGTGAACAACAGAAGTTACATCGTAACAGATTTAGTTTACATCATAAGGTGATGTTTCGAATAATATAAGTTAAATTCTTTATGACTTAGGCTTTTGACATTTTATTTCGAAAAATACACGTTACATATTACTCGGTGTAGGCTACATCCTAAAGTTATTTTAAATAATAGAAGTAACATGAACTCAGATTTAAGATACATTATAGAGTTGTTTCGAAAAATAGGCGTTATATTGACCCTGGTTTAGACTTTTTAAATGTCCCAAAAACAACTGTTCGGGAACGCCTCTTAAAATATTGGGATAATAATTTGTTGATGAAGAAAAGAGAACATGGCAAGAGAAATTGTCATAGCGAGATGAATTGGTAAGTGAACAAAAATAATAAAATGATAATCAAAGCGATGATCCTGGTATGACGATAAGCTACATTTGGCAGCAAGGCGTCTGATCGGAAAATTGAAGATTTTCAAGAGCATGGAATCATCTCTTGTTATACCCAGGTCTACCCTGACCCGTGGTGGTAACAACCATGGCCCAAGCTATGTGCAAATAGTGATCTCCCAAACAAAACAAAATACTATGAAAGTATAAAAATACATTTTTATACTAAAAGTACCAGTAATACATTTTTATATAAAAAAATGACCAACATTACATATTTATAGCAAAATTAAAAACAATACATTTTATATGTAGTTGAAGCCATAAAATTTTTTAAAATATTTAGATTTTGGCACTAAATAACCCATAGAAGTTGACATGCAGCTAAGCAAAAGAAACCAAGGGAATCAGAGCGATGGCAGCAACAGGATTCCGGTAC